GTAAAAAGTTTTCATTAAGTTTAATAAAGATAAGAGCATGGTCTCACCTTTAACATTAAAAAAAAAAAAAAAAAAAATGAAATTAATAAAAAATTTATGGTGCCCCATCCTGATTTTAAAAATTTAAGTCAAAATCTTTTATTTATATTAACAAAACTTTTAAAGCATTTACTGATATTTTACTTTCTAAAATTATAAGTTAAATAAATAAAAAGGGCATTGCTATCCATACCTCCTACTTTTGCTATTTGTACCCTTTCTATATAAATGTATAATATGATTATGTTGTGTTAGATGAATTTAATTTCATATTTTTAGTTGCAAATGATTTATAATATAATTTAAATTAATTAAGTATTATAAAATTATTATATAATAATAAATTATAATAATGTTTTTAAATGGGAGAGGGTATGAATAGCAAAAACGGGGGGTATAAATAGCAGTTTCTAATAAAAATTTACAAAGATATTAAAAATTTTCTTTTATAAAATAAATATATACTTGATATTTTAAAGTTGTTAAAAAAATTAAATTATTTTATGAGTTTTTATTTGTTTAACTTGGAATTTAAGAAAGTAAAATTTTAATAAAACTCTAAAAGTTTTATTCATTTTTATAATAAAATTTTTACAGTAAATCAAAATATAATTACGTCAATTTCAGTACAAATTAACCTATGGTTAGCTAATAAAGTTAGGGCTGGTATTAGAGTGAAAGTTGTAAGAATCCATCTAAGAATGCCCAAATTTGTTACTATTGAGAAATAAGCTTGGGTAAAACAATTCTTTAGTCAAAACATTAGAATTACTATCATGTATAATAATTTCATCCAAAAGTTTGCATCTACCGCAATAAGCAGTAACAAATTTAAATACTATCCTATTAATTGATACACAAAATTAATTATATTTGCGCAGCTCACTGCATTTGTCTGACGTGTTTCTTGTTTCACTGATGAAGCTGCTCTGAGTATCTTAACAAAAAAATTCCTTACAAAAAGATTTTACTTCATATGTAGTTAGTTTGTTCATATTATATTGACTACTAAAGTAAATTTTGGTATAATCATTAATGACCACACGCTCGTGTTTGTTACGTAAATTTACGTCTCGTTACCCGTGTCAAATCCCGTGCCGATTCGACTAGTAAACTGTTGCAAACCCGAACCATTTACAGTTCACCGAATCCATACCAATTCGGACCATACCCGTACAAATCCGGATCTTGACCCGTTCCACAAAGACCCGTGCCGACCCGGTACATTTTTCTTATAGGGCTTTTGTTCCTAACTTAAACTATCTAGACACTAAAACCGCATTTTTTGACAGAATAAAAACTAAGTCCCTAACTTTTAGACAATATATTTATGGCTTTTAGTCCATTGCTTTCATAATATTTATGGCTTTTAGTCCATTGTTTTTCAAACATAATTGTAATATTTGTGGCTTTTAGTCTGTTGATTTTCAAATATAATTGTATAATTATATTATTTTGAAGAATTCTTATTAGAACTTTATACAAATTCAACTCAGAAAATTTTTTTCGAACGGGTCTTTGTTGCACGGGTCAAGACCAGATTTGTACGAGTATGGTCCGAGTTGGTACGGATTTGGTGGACCATATGCTCGTGCCAATTGAACCGTAAATGGCTCGGCTTTTGCAGCAGTTTACTAGTCGAATCGACACTAGATTTGGCGCGGGTAATGATACGTAATTCACGTATGATAACAAATACAAGCATGTGGATTATTGATTAAAACATAAAATTTACTTCAATAATCAAATATAATATGAACAAACTAACAGCATATAAAGTAAAATTTTGATAAGAATTTTTTTTGTTAAGATACTCGGAGCAGTTTCATCACTTTTTCCAAAACGAACCAACACGTATCACGAGCGAACACGTGTGTAACGTACACATACGTGTCATCTGAACATGCCGGTCCCGTATAACGTGATATAACGTGCACCATGCCGTAATTTTTCCACGCATGCCATTCCGTAAAACGTACCTGTGCGTGCAGCACGATCCGTGCCATTTCGTGCATTCCCGAAACCAACCCGTACCACAACCCGGACCACTTTCTTATAGGGCAGTGATTGCTGAATTTTTATCGTCATCATTAAAATGTGAAGTCACACAAAGGCTTGGGTTTATGAGGCTTATAAAGTTGTATGTGACAGTAGTGTTAAATATTTGGTGGCGTTGGTAGAAAATCACAAAGTCAATTACGAGATTCCTTCGTTGACTATTATTGCGATACTAAATATAGTATTTAGAGGCGTTTATTTGAAGAAAATTATGGAAGGCTTGGGAAACATAGTTTTATGTAAGAGAATAACTTTTTTGACAACGCATATAATTTTTGGGTTTATATAAACCCCCTCAAAAGAAAAGAAATTTAAAATTAAAAAAATAAAATAAAAAAATAATTAATACATAATCATAAATCATATATAATCGAACAATAAAATAATAATGAGAATTGCTGCTCTTGGACTTGTAATCGCGTTCGTTGCGACTGTTGTTGCCGGTAACATCTTTGGCCTTGTTAATTAATGTTAGCTACCTTCTATATATAATTCTAAAATTTCAATGTTACAGAACCTGAAGCTGATGAGTACAAACGTGATGAGTACAAGCGTGACGCCAAACCTTACTACTACTACGAGCGTGATGAGTACAAGCGTGACGCCAAACCTTACTACTACTACGAGCGTGATGAGTACAAGCGTGACGCCAAGCCTTACTACTACTACGAGCGTGATGAGTACAA